AGCCAGAGGCAGTCTGTTTTAAGTTATTAGTGTATATGACAATGAGTAATAAAGATACGTATATGTAACAATATCCATTTATAAAGACATATGTGTATGTGTGTAGTTTTACACCTATTTACAAACATTATATGAAGTAATTCATGGATGTTGTATACACAAATTGATCAATTACACAAGGAATACAACTATTAAGCAATATCTGAAAGGAACTAAAAGATTTGAACTGAATTTTACGACATTTCCAACATGAGGTTAACTGTAGTTACAGACGTCTATGGTATTATTTGAAGATAAAGTACATCTGTTATTTCAATTAATACTATTGAAAGAATGCTTTAATTTGGACATTGCAATATTCGACATATAATAAACTTTTCGTGAAAGACAACACAATTTTTACTTGTTGGTTTTTGGTAAGAGTAGTACAAAATATTTGAATTGGATTGAATTAAGATATCTTGATATATCATAACAAATGTATACTTGGTTAACCTAGTTTTTATTTGGTTGTGATCATTTTGATTGAACTTATTTAAAAACACAATGTTTTCTGGCTATTTTCGTAATATTATTTGAGTACAAGGTGCAGTTATAATGCATGAAAATGTAGGATGTGCTTATATTAGGGGGAGGGGTTGAGAGTAGCAACCACGTTGTTAAACTTTATCAGCCACGTCAAAGGTAGTATTAAACTTGTAACTGTAATAAGTGCTCTAAACAAAAACAATTTTAATGAGTTTGATCAAATGTAAGAGTCAGCATTGCCTAACAAAGTCAACTTATATGTGTAGGAAACGGTTTCCATTCTTACTTGAAACAGGCACTGTTTACATAACTAGGCTAGGCATTAGTATAGGAACTGGCCCTGGATCGAAAGGTAAGCAATGTTTGCATTGTCATGGGAATGACAAAGGTAGCAGGACCATTATAAGATATTGGTCAGTTTGAGACCCAGTGAAGACTGAGAACCAAGAAGCTCACAGGCATTAGGGGTACATGCGCTGATGGTAAATAGGGCATGAGTACATGTAAAGCCATAGAAATGTCACTTGATTAATATAATCCATAAATTACTTTCTCTCTAATGCAGTTCATGAAAAGAGTAATAATTGTAAGTGGACAGTTAAGACCCTTTTTTAACCTACATACTTGGTTGACCTTCTTACCAATTGGAATTCATCTAACCTTATGATTTTAATCAACACTTTCCCTATTTAAGACCAAATTTTATACCATTTTGGCTATCTTCTCATTCACCCAGCCAGTGATCTATTTTCCGTGTGCTAAAGCCTCAAGTATACATGTTGCCATGAGCAGCTGGTATTACATGATGAAGAAGAAGAAGAATGCTACTTGCAGGCCAAAATGGTGGTTGCAAAAATACCCTGGCCCAGGAAAACTTCCCACTGAACTGGAAGATTCCTGGGACTGACAGGATCTGCAACTCAGAAAAAGACATGGATGAAGATGTATTGGTGGATGTTAAGTCATACATTCAGTATCTTACAAGTTCAATCGTTGGGCTGGCTGAGTCTCCTGGGTCTGGACAACACTAGTCAGAGGTAGATTGGTTGACCTCAAGAACCCCAATCCTCATTGGATGGAACACCAGTGACAGCTATGGAGAAACCATCACAGAAGTTCACTTCTATGGTGGTCAGGGCCACCAACCATGGAATCACCAGTGAAGAAGAAGTCTAGATGAACATCTAAGCAAGGGGAGCTTCTCCTGAGGTTGGATACATCAGATGAAAACCATTACATCCCAAATCTTTTGTAGGAGTTGATGTCACCTTGAGGATTATCTGAGTGCTAAAGAAAAAATAAGCTCCCACCACCATCACTGGAAATCCCAATGACACTAGCCAGGCCATCCCAATAGTTGCTCTACCACCACCTGCATTAGTTTTCAAGGTTAACGAGGGTGTCTCAGCCCCCATAACCCTCGAAGCGCTATTAAAATAAGAAGCAATGATCCTCTACCTCGCCATTGGTCAAGCCACCACTACACGAGAGGCCCCAGGAGAAAACAACCCTGAGTGGCTAATAATCAGCTCACACTCTAGCAGATTCCTATAATTGGCACTGCCAAGAAATGATCACAAGTTGGACCAAACCTAGACCATTTGAAACAGGGAAAAAGACTGCTTGTGATGGAGGGCAATGCCTCTGTCATGGTTTGAGAAGGAAATACACCCTTTGTGAGCCAAGATGGTGGATACATAAAGAGCCCTGGCCTAGGGCCAAGATTCCATCAGGGCAACGATAGCAGCCAACTGATGAACAACTGTTACAGTAGAGGATCTGCTGATGGAGTTGAAAGAGGGTAAAGAAGAAGGACCTCATGCTTGCCATTGGATGTGTATATATTTCGTACATTTTCCTTTCTTTTTTAAGTATAAATGTTGTATTCCAAGTATATGTCTCTGTATCTTTATTTTGTTTTAGTTTTGTCTTATTTAATGACTATGGTTAAAGTGTTTTCCTTTATGAATTGTATTTCCAATGAAGTGATTTCAATGTTAAGAGGTATATGGTAATGTTGTGTATTGAAATTTGAATTCTGTTTATTATATGGTTTTACGTTTAGTTTTTAGTTTTTCTTTAAAAGGTTTAATTTTGCAATTTGACTTTGTTTTTATTTCCTTCATTTAATGTGTTTGAGTTTTAGTGAAGGAGTTTGTTTTACTCCTTGTGATTTTGGAATCATGACTTGATTTACACTTGTTAAAAAAATCAATACAAGAAGCTTTTGTCTTTAAGAGTTATTGTGGTGAAATGTTTATATGTACTGTAACTGGACGAGTGTTTTCAACTTAAAAAGGATATTTCTGTATTTATGGAGATAATCTGTGTTAGAGTATATTGTTGTTCTTTGGATTTTATCATTAAAGGGATGTGTCATCTGTATTAAAAGTCAGTGTTTATGGAGGCATGATAAAGTTAATGTACTTTTTATCCAGATATGAGTTTAAATTCTTATTTATTGTAAAGTACAAATTAATCATTAACTTGAGGACAATCCTAAAGTAGGGAACAGAGGAAAGTGTGGTATATGAATATATCATGCTTTTCTACATTATTATATTAATATGATATTCATTCTGAACTTATCAGTTATTTCTGAGTATTTGAAGTTTTTACATAACATGTTTTTTTTTTATTCTATCGAGGTCATACCTGTTATGCTGTAATGCTGCACATTGTGCAAGAATGTCGCCAACAGTGTCCTTCTTTCATAGTTCAGGTGTTATTTCGAGATTACAGTTTCCTCAATCTTTGTATAAGAACGACAAGTCGTGGGTAGAGCTAGTTGCTCTGGATAAATCCAACAATACCTATTATGTAAGGAGCGTTGAATTTAAAGAGTTTGATAGATTATCTCAGCTTCATCAGGTTGAAAGGATGTTACATAATCCAGTAGAAGCGACCATTCATTGTCCATAAAGCAAGTGCATACACTATGTTTGTGGTTGTGTATTGATAAAGATTGTTTACTGATATTTTGCATTGTGGCCAGCCTCTTCCTTTCATTCTCATGAACTCATCTACTAAGAGGTTCAGTACTACTTCGTAATAAATATCTTGTTGAACTTTCTGTTACTAAGCAGACCTATCCAACTGCTCCAAGGCCAACGCAGTTTTAATTGAATATGCCACAACCCCATCCTCAGCTCTGACAAAAGAAAAATATAAGTCTCAGTTAAAAACTTTAATATACAGCAACACGTCATATTAAATTGCTCAATTTTTTAATGATATCTTCCCTGGAAGAGCTTAGCAACACCAAAGGTAATGACCAACGTCAATGTGTAACTGGAAATCAGCAAGTTAAATTCTATGAATGCATCAGAATATGTGTAAGTGTGAAAAAACTTACAAATCTTTAGTGAACACCTGTGTAAATTAAAAGGAAAAGAAACACCTTGTACTGGAAACACTACTGCACTTGTGGTGTACAAAACATGTTTAGCGTTACCTGTCTTCTAGAGTTTAATAAAGTGAGCATTTCACATTCACCTACAATTTAAAATAGTTTTCAAACATACACATTTTCAGACATGTATGTAGTTTTAACATTAGAATGTTGATCGTGGATTACGACCAGATCGCTTTCGAACTAGTTATCTGTTTTCTGGATCATTTCCTGATAATGTCACATGATGTTTTCTCATGGGAAAAATGACTGTATAGCAGGACACACTATATGTGTAGGAGGACAGTGATATTTTTTATTAACATATTATGTGATGCTTTGAAGACATTCCTCCCTTACTATACTATTGGAATGACCAATAATGACATGGTTAGTGTTTGCATTTTGAGAAGAATGACCTTATTATTTCTGATTTTGTAGTGTCATATTCTCTTCAGAATAAGATAACTAATTCAAACTTTTTTTTCTGTTAGCTACAAGCACCATTCATCATTTGGTGGACTTGTTTGCTTTGATTGTTTTTGATTCAATAAACATATAATTTCACTTAGTTTTAACAATGTGTTTAGCCTCTTTTCTGCTTCAAAGTCAACTAGAATCAGAAAATTTTTTAACTCTTGTTATTGCAGTTGCTATTCTTATTCTTTATGTTACCAGTACGCCTGAGAATAATGTATAATACTACACGTTAATCGATCCTGAACTCGGCTGAAGAATCCAGTTTAGCAACGGATTATGATTTCAATTATATCTATTGTTTCCAGCACTTAATGAACTGTGGATTGACCATCCTGTTTATTTTAAAAATTAAACATTATTGCTAAAAAACATGAAACTACTCTATCTAATAAAGTTAAATAAAACAAAAGCTGTGATAAGAGTGTGTATACAAAATTGTAATAAATTTTGTTGTCATTTTTACATCAAAACTATTAAGTGTCACAAACATCTCGGATTTAAAGTGTAAAACTGCAGTAAGCGCATGTAATTTCTCTGCATAACTCTCCACCTAGTGGTGCGTTAATGTAGGTCAGCATTCCCCTCCATTGCAAAGTTGGTTGCCAAGGTTAGAATGCATTAGATTGCTTTTTTTAATTATAGTTTAAATCAAGTAATTAGAGTATTCATTAAGACTGTATCAGCGCAATTCCACTTAATATTATAGAAATTTCAAAAAGTAGTAAACTTGTAGTTGGGACAATCTTAATTGTTTTAAATTCATGACTTTAAAAGGGATTTGTATAACGTATATAAGCAATACGCCTATTTTATATTTTTCGGATCAGCTGTAAATTTATTTTTGCTGTGTTGAACTCTCGTGAGGTTAGTCGTGGAAATTTACTCAGAACATCATGGCGAACGTGATGAAACGACAGCGGTCTCGTCGCAGATTAGCTGCATTAACTTTTTTGTCCAACATATCGCTGGATGGATCGCATAGGGATACAAAGCTAGGCATTTTCAACCGCAATTTTCAATCAAATGACATAGCCAGTGGAACAGAGTTAACAACTCCAAAACAAGAAGTAAAAAAACATTCGAACGAAGTGATTTCTTCTACGAATAATGCTATTACTTGTAATAGAGATGACACTCGAATTAAAAGTTGTCGGGCCGGTACGGAAGGTAAACTAAGTTGTCTGGGAAGCTGGGATGCTGCAGTCGATAAGCTAAAATACGAATCAATAGACTTGAGTTTGAAGAAAAGTTTGAATCTAGTAGTAGGTCTTTTTCTGCTTCATGTTCTAAGCGTTACAGCCCAAAAGAAAATCAGCGGTAAGAAAGTTTTGAAAGAAATTATTGACATTTTTATTAAACTTATTATTATTACTATTAGAATTAAAACGGGACCTTTTGTTTAGATAATGTTGTTATAAATTCATATCATCTAAATAATTGTAGTATTCAATTTATTGCCATTAAAGTTAAATACAACAACAATATATCCGAACATAAGAAATTCAAGAATGAAGAGTATGCAACCTGACAGAAAGGCAGTTAGCTTGTCAGTCATCTGTCATCTACGTAAATAATAACATTTAATAAATTCAATAAGCCAAAACATAAAAATCAAATTAAATGTAGTTTATCAGCAACATGTACCTAACCAATTAAAGTTTTAAAAAAGTTTAAACTTACTGTTGCACTCGTATACTATAGCATGTTAATTAGCAAACTATGTGACAAATTTGCAAAGTTAACCCAAGAATTATATTGGTCAAAGAATAAATCTGCATCTGAGCTTCCAGGATTTAAGTCTTTTATCTTTAAAATTATGAAGAGCTTCATGAAAAGTAAAAGTAAAAGAATTCCTTCAGAGGTAGGTGTATGGATAGAAATAGACGTGGCCCTTTTATGGAGTGTTCTATCAGGCTATAGTATATGTAGTAATTAATTGTTTGTCAGGAATCTAGACTTAAATGAAAGATTATCAAAGATATACTTACAACAACAGGTCAGGTGGTCATCACTATCATAGAATTTACCCTTCTCATGAAAATTATCTCATATAGGTCCAATTTTCACTTAACCAGGTTTGGTAATAAGATGTTTGAGAAAGCTCAAGGTTGTTCATTAGAGATAGTTTAAGTAAAACTTCCATCGTGGTCAGAAAACTTGGGTAATTGGGAATAAACAAATAGATGTATAGCAAGAACGACAAAGAGATTGGAAAGAGAAGATTTGGAGCAAGAGCACGAGTTAAACATTATTTCTAAAGATAATTTGTAGACTTAAATATAAGTAAAGTAGATTCAATGATAAGCTTAGTTGCTATTATTCTGACATTAAATGATTAAGACTATTAGAAACACAATGGATGAATTCATGACTTGAGAAAAGTAAACATTTACACCCACCCTTTACTTTTGAGAAAATCATCGATGCCCTCTAAAAAGTAATCTATGACTAAATGGCAGCAGAAATGGTAAGACACTTTTATAGGAACCATATCTGCCATTTATTCTTTTTTTTTCTCAAAAGCTACAGGAATATGCATTATCTTATGAGAAATCCAGAGTTGCACTCCAATCTGTAATTGGATAACATCCAAAGAAGTTATGATTGTTTTTTATCAGAAGAATTGAACTTGTTTTGAAACCTGTAAGGAACTGCTGTGACAACAATCCAGAATCTCTGAGTGTTTATTATTTTCAAGATGGAAACAAGGTCAGATTCAAAGCTAACTTGAAAATGTAAAGTAGCAAAATGTCCGAGTTGTTACAAGTATAGCAGATGTGAATGTGACCATGATGGCATAACAGTTTCTCAAGAAGTTAGCTGTAAGAGAGGTCAGAGAAGCTTTGGCAGAAGAAGAGGTGCTATCAAGTGCCCAAAGAGAAGTAGATCTGTGTACAGGAGCAATAAGCTTTCAGATGTATCCAACAACTTGTTCTCAAATGGGGATAAGAGCAGGAGAATGATTCACGATCAGTCAAGGAATACAAAAACTTTTTACCTGAGTGAAGTGCAAGAAACTTTTAAGGATAAGAGGTGAGGAGTACTAAAATAATGGAGAAATGTGGGTGCTCCACTTTGGTAGAATAGAAACACCTTACAGACTACTCGATCAAAGAAAATAGCTTGGCAAAATGACCTGTGGATCATATTCTACACAGCCATTACCTCACTTTTAGGCTTTTTTATTTCTGGATCTGATGGTATACTCCACCACCTACCCAAATAGTTATCTTTTCTGTTGTTGAATCAGAGATTATTTGTTAAAAATGTGTTTTTAAAGTACTGATCTCACTACTGCTGAAAGCAACTCATTCCATAAGTCCGTCACTTGTTATAAAGATAAAACTATCTCAACTTGAACTACCCTCAGTTTTCCAAATCTTAAACTTGTGTCCTCTTGTTCAGTTATTGTTTATACCAAATGGTTAATTGTCAACTATGGAGGATGCTGTTTTAGACTTATTGTAAACCACTAATGTTAAAGTGAACTCTGTGGAACAGAGATCATTGTATAATTAGGTTTAATGTTTTCTTACATGTTGAAATAAAAAGAAATGAAATTTTAATTCCTAATTTACAGTAAGAAAATTTTGAGTACATGACACAAAATTTATCATTAGTGAATTGGAATAATGATTTAAAAGGTGATGTGGATAGATTTGGGAAATTTTTATAAATAAATTTATTCTAAATCAAAATAGATATGTTCCTTAAAAGAGGAAAAGGATAATATAGGAAGATCAAATGTAATTTGCTTATTAACAATAGGATGAAAGCCTCTGTTTTTTTTGTTTTTTTTACTGTATTCTGAAGATAATAGGATGAAAGTACACAAGTCTAACATTTGTAAAAGACAGGCTTGGTTTCAGTTATAACAGTTTTATTTTTTTCATGGAGGGACATACTGTCAGCAGGAGTCGAGGTTAGCATTTTAAAGGTGTTTAATAGGGAAATTGTGAATCAATGGTTTCATGAAAAAATGAAGGTTGGGTTTAATTTTCTTTTTCTCAAGGGTGGTTGTACTAGGAAAACCTTAAAGGGTTAAGGTAAATGTGCCTTGTTGCCTGTATGTTATGTTAAATGTATATTTTAAGACTAATTCCATCCACAGAAAGAATTTCCAAAGTAACCTCTAAGATTTAGAAGCTCCTGCAGAAGCAGTTCAACATTTTAGAACTCTTTTTATAACTAAAATTTTGTAAAGATGTTCTAATAATTAACTTTTTTGTCTAGATTATTATTTAATTATAACTTATCAAGCTGTTAAGAAATCTGCCATGATTAGGGTTCTCAGACCATTGCTTTTCAACTGATATAAGAGGGCCCTAGTCTATGCATATATTGTCTATCCTGAACTTTATATAATTCTCTCCACTCAGAAGATGTCATCCTTGAGCCAATATGCACAACACAAACTGGTATCTCAAGCTGCCAACACACAGTGCAACACTTACAAGTCAGAAACACTACCTAAAACACATGCACAATACACCAGGCCAGTTAATGAGCTAGTTATGTACACAGATGGTGTGATTTACTATCCACTTAACTCAGATGGCTCAGATATGTGGGATGCTATGTGTTGAACACCAATAGAATATATTAGGATGTTAAGGCTTGGAAGTGGGACCCTTGGCTCCCACTAATGCTCTGTGATTGATGCTCTTGCCAAGTGAGCTACTATATCCCAAGTCTTGAACAGACAACTTTCCATCCTGACTGTTACATAATACATCATATTCTTTTCCATACTTTATATACTTTCATTATCACAATGTATGCACTGATGTATGAATAGCATGTATTTATGTAAGACAGTAATGCAAAATTTAGTTTGTACGACATTTGAGAACTAGGACTTCTATTGTGATGGAAGCATAAACCTATATATATATATGTTTGTTTTTGCAATGCTAAAACATTATGCTTATGCTATGAATATACACTGTGTTATTTCTACTAAGTGTTATTGTTGTATGGTAAAAAAAGACAAAAAAAAGAATGATGTCTACAATAAACAACTGGTTGAGTGAAATTCAATGGTTGTATAACATGATACTCAAGTACGAATTCATAACCCTGCCCTAAAGAATTGTTGATAAAATGTGAAATAAAGTGTTATTGTTGAAATCTTGACACAAATATTATTCAAATGCCCACCTCGGTCTTCACTTTTTCTAATACATTGATATATGTATATATATGTAAAAGAACTAAATCTGCACTTAGTATTCTAAGTAAGGCCCTACCAGTCTTATATAGATATATAAAAAGTTACAATAACTTTCTTTTTTTTAAGTACAAAACTTGTATAAATAGATTTAAGAAATGATTTTTTTCCCTTCACTACAACGTAATCTTTCATATACTCTTTAGTACTTTTCTAACTCTAGAAATACTACTGATCAAGAAATTATCCAAATCTTTGACATAAATTATAAATAATGAAGTTTACAAAACAGATCCACGAGTAACCCCACTAGTAATTTTCTACCAAACAAAAAAGAAAATCCATTTATCACCAGGTTTTGCTTTATATCACCAAATCATTTTTTATTCACTATTTTAATTTTTTTAATTTGATAAGTTTGCAACTTACCAATCAATATTTTGTAAGCCATCTTAAAAAGTTTTTGAAGCTTAAGATAAACATCTTTCTTTCAGGACTTCTTTCATCTGAGATAACAAAAGCTTCATAAAACTATTAAGTTAATAAGAAGTGTAATAGACTTAAAATAAGACCCAAAACTTGAGCACTTTCGAATAGTCAACTATTCGGAAGCGCTTGAGTTTTGGGACTTATTTTAAGTCTATTACACTTTATATGTGATCCTTTGTGCTAACTCCTTTATAAAAGTTAATAAGAAAGTATTCTTT